TCCTGCCATGTGAAATTCTATACCTAGGCACACATCTGTAGTGACATAAGCGCACTCTGTTGGGGGTGGTGCTCAGAGGCCTCTGGGATGGGAGCAGGAGGGCAAGAGGGAGAATGGAACAGACTAAAGGCATCAGGAGATCTTGTGGACACTGTGGGAATATCCTAAAGAGCATAGCAAGGAAGACTGTGAGTACTGGAGCTTGTCCTTTTCAGAAGTGGGGAGACAGTAACCTAATCTGTGGTGTATAAAGTGAAGAGGAAAACAATCTTCAGATCAGTCACATGATCTTCAAATATGAATTACCAAATAATCTCTGTCCCCATTGTCTCTTCAAACACTCTCTCTCTACTGTTCCCACTCCACCACTGCCTCTGGAGTCATACTGAGTTTTGGTAGACACTTTTATGAACCTATGCTTGGAGATTTTCATATTCATGGGAAAGCTATGTGTTCCTGGAAATAGCCACAAGGTATACCAGGAACAAATTTACTCCCAGAATTCTACATAAACGTCTGATATGAGATTTTTGTTTTTCAGATTCCAGAATGTGGGCAAATTGCCATGAAATATCAAATCATTTTGAAAAATCTCCCTTCCCCTTCAATTTTCTAATTCTCTTTTTTCTTTTTTTCCAAGTTTCTTGCAAATCCTGAAGAGCATTTCCTCCAGCAGTACCAATTTGCACAGCTCCCCAAATGACACCGGCCAGTTGCAATGGGCTCTCTCCAGGTCTCTCACAACTGAGGCTATGAACTATTATTTCATCAGGAAGGACCATCTCACTCATTACATGCTTGGTCTGCCTATGACCATGAGCCTGCCTCACCTTTGATATGCTACCAGGGCCTTACATCACATCACCCCCAACCCTTGCTTAGAAGCCCAAAATAGCATGCAAACTGAGGGTCTATGTTCCCTGTCTCTCTCTCCATGGCTGATGGAGGAAGACCAGGTTACTTACTTTACTATGGTCTCTAGTGGACTAGACAGGACCATCACCAAAAAGGAAGGGAGAATTCTTTTCCTTAAAGGCCTTAAAACTGAGCAACTCTGATGCAAACAATCTGTGGGAGCTGTTTGCTTGTGACCAGGATGAGCCCAAAGAGCATGTTTGCTCAGGGAGACTGAGAAGTTAATGAAGAGACCCTCAGGCAGGATAATAAAGGGTCTGCATCACTCTGATAGAAATGGAGGATGGGCACCATTGCTGAGGAACAGCCAGAGATTTCCAGTCTTTTCTATCCCTGGTCTTCCCTATTCGTTAGGGTCTTCTGAAGGCAAGAGTAAAACAATAGGAAATCCTGGACACAGAGATTTCCTGAGAGCTTCAACCCTGTGGATCTGGCTGCTAGTGCTTCCGTTGATGTAAACAGATGCATAGGGCTGGATTCTGATTCCTAAAAGGGGTTTTCCAGTGAGATATGGGATGCTGCAATGTAACTGAGACACACTTGTGGTGCTGAAAGGGGTGACATGGGACTTAGCATGCTAACCCTCTGGAGGGTTTTCTGGAGGCAAACCAGACTGTGTGGGCAAAGGAACTGACTGTAAAGTGAGTTGAGAGACTCACCACAGATATCAACACATTACCATGGCCACAGTGTGCTCATGCAGACTATGTGTACATCTAGAGTTAGGAGACTGAATTTCCAGCTCAGCACCAGGGAAGCTATCACAAAAAGTATCCCTAGATTTAACCTGGCTGTCCAGGGAGCCTCCATACAGCAGAAAGGGACATGCACGTTCAGAGGATGAGCAACCCCACAGGCAGGAAGAGTCTGACTCTGGAGTGATGAATCCCCTCCAGGAAGAGGTTTGATTCACAAGGACAGGCTGTATCACAGAATCACAGGATGGTTGAGGTTGAAGGGATCTCTGGAGATCATCTAGTCCAAGAACACTGCCCAGGACTGTGTCCAGATGGCTTTTGAATATTTCCAAGGAAGAAGACTCCACAGCCTCTCTGGGCAACCTGTTGCAGTGCTCTGTCACCCTCACAGTCGAGAAGTTTTTCCTCATGTTTAGATGGAACTTCCTGTGTTTCAGTTTCTGCCCATTGCCTCTTGTCCTGTCGCTGGGCACCACGGAGAAGAGACTGGCCCCATCCTCTTGGCTCCCTCCCTTCAGATACTTGCACACATTGATCAGATGCCCTATCAATCTTCTCTTCTCCAGACTGAACAGGCCCAGCTCTCGCAGACTGTCTTCATAGGAGAGATGCTCCAGTCCCCTCATCATCTTTGTAGCCCTCTGCTGGACTCTCTCCAGGAGTGCCATGTCTCTCTTGTCCTGGGGAGCCCAGAACTGGACACAGGACTCCAGGTGAGGCCTCCCCAGGGCTGAGGAGAGGGGCAGGATCACCTCCCTCGACCATGCTGGCAACACTCTGCCTAATGCACCCCAGGAGACCCTTGGCCTTCTTGGCCACAAGGGGTGCATGGGGTTATTCCTCCCCACGTGCACGACCCTGCACTTGCCTTTGTTGAACTTCGGGAGGTTCCTCTCCGCCCAGCTCTCCAGCCTGTCCGGGTCCCTTTGAAAGGCAGCACAGCCTTCTGGTGTGTCAGCCACTCCCCCCCCCAGTTTAGTATCATCAGCAGACTTGATGAGGGTGCACTCTGGGCCTTCCTCCAGGTGACTGAGGAATACACTGAACAAGACTGGACCCAGGACTGACCCCTGGGGGACACCGCTAGCTACAGGCCTCCAACTTGACTCTGCGCCATTCACCACAACCCTCGGAGCTCGGCCATCCAGCCAGTTCTCCATCTACCTTACTGTCCACTCATATGCCTGCCTTCCTTCAGTGCCTGCTCTTTTGGGCCTGCACACACTTGAATTAGCAGACCCCAATACTGCAGGGGCAGGTGCATGGAGGAGCATCCCCTTTATAGATGATTCATGCTCTTGTGGCAGGACAGGCTGGGAGCATGGAGTCTAGAGAGATTTCAGTCTCAACCTCTTTCCATCCCTGCAACCATCCACAGCCACAACTTCATCATATTCCCAGCCAGAGCAATACCCCAGGAGCCCAGTGTCCCTCACCCCAGTTTCTGCAGCCGGCAAATGGGATGTTTCAGCCCCTTGCATAGCAGCTGTACTCCATGGTCTCTCAGGGCATTTCCACGCAGTCTCAGTTCCGTCAGCGTCTGAATGGTACTCAGCACACTGGCTAGATCCTCACAGCAGGCGGCTGTGAGGCAGCACCATTCCAACCTGTCAAGGAGACATGCAGAGAACAGTGGGGCTGGTCACAGCATCGATGACAGACAGATCTACCCACCAGCAAGAGCTTGGCAGCTATAGGGATGCAGCAGGAGCCCCACGTCACATTGCCTGCACACACATCCCTTGGCCAATGAGGGGCCAACACTGGAGGCTGTGCTCACTTCCTGCCCACTGTCGTGGCCTCCCATAAGCCAAATCCCTCCCAGAAGGGCCCAATGTGGGCTTTGGCCCTGAACCTCTGTGCTGGCGAGTCAGAAGCCAGGGGAGGGGAAGGACTGCCCCAGTCCGACCCCAGCCCTCTCCGTGGACCTATCTCAGCTCCACCCGGGCACCAAAAACCCCTCAGTCCCACCCAATCAGTACTGGGCCAATCAGGAGAGTGGTGATGAGGTGGGACTGGGGAGCTGTGCCAATCCCAGTAGGCCATGGCTGCAGGCAGCTGTGGGCATCCCTTGCCCAGGCAACTGGGCCCAGCTTGGCTGCTGCAGGCAGCTGGGCATCCCACTCTCCATCCCCCAGCCCCATACGCACCTGCTGGGCCCTGAGGGACCCATAGCCACCTGTTTCCTGGTTCTGCCTCTCCCCTGCAAGGTCCTACACAAACAGCTTCACCCCTGTCCCCCTCTGAAAGCATGAACATGGGGCATCTTGGGTAGCCAGTCCAAGGGCAAAGAGTCCTCCAAGGTATGAAGATTTCTTGGGAAGGGCTGACTATTTTGCCCTGCACTTGGGGTCCCTTTGCAGTTTCCCTTAGGCTATCTCCTGATGTTTTTATGCTCCTTGAAGATGCAGCGTTCCTAGCTTAGCTAGCTGCAGCTAAGCAGATATCTGAGGCAGCAACAGCCGTATGCAGCTCAAGGACTCTCTCAAGATGTATCTCACTCCCACTGCCACTCTTCACCCCTTGCTCTTCCCTTGAGGACCTTGTGCAGCCTTCCATTGTGAGCTCTTCCTGCCCCAGAAGAGAAGCATTTTTCTGAACTGTAGCCATCTGATCCTCCAGAAGTCCTATCTACAGGCTCTCTTATATCCCAGCAGCAATCCCAGGAAACAGCCTGGACACCCTTTCCAGATTCTAGAGAGTCTCTCTACTTTGAGGAGAAAAGGAAGTTCTCCTGGAAGGAGTCTCAAAGTACTCTGATGGGGCAAAGAGGTGGGAGAAACAGAGAAAGGAGGCTAAAAGTAGATGTGCTCATATGACAGCAGCTGGGAAAGAGAGGGTTCAGTGACGGAATCCCTTGGGGGAATGCTTGGGAGAGGATGCCTCATGGAGAACACATCTCCCGCACATTTAAAGGAGAGTAATGATTCATGGTTTAAAAGGAGATGGCCCCTTCAACAGGAAGGGAGAAGAAACTGCAGTTTTGGGAGTGGGTTCTCACTTCCAGTGAGGGAGGTGAACCCTAGTTTTGTTGAACTGTCCCAACACACTTGTGCAGTGAAATACATGGGAGAGCCCATCCCAAGTCTTTAATGAGGAAGGAATTCACTCCTATTCTAGCAACACTGGCACACAATCAGACTATGCTTCTTTCAAGACGGTGTTTATATTCCAAAGAGCCTTAGGGATCATCAGAGAAAGAGTAAACCCCTCCCCCACAATCCTAAAATATTTCCCACTGAAAAGGTTGGCAAAGTCCCACAACCTCCTCCATGTGTGATCTGCTGTAAGGGTGAATTAGTGCTTGTGCAGCTTCAGGGTGTAAAGATGCAGACATCAGAAATTATGTGTTGGCTTCCCTAATGTTTCAACGTGGCTGTTGAAATAGCCTTGGCATCTCCAAGGAACTCTCCTCCCTGCGCTCCGGATCATGTTGGGACTAGACTGAAGTGCCTGCAAACTGAAACCAACTGTGTGGCTGAGTCAACCTCAATCTGGGGTAAGGCTGTTCTGGGCCTTCCTTCTCCATCAAAATTCACTTTGATTCCAGACTATCAGCAGTTTCTGGAAGGAAGAGGTTTGTTGTGTGTCACTGCCAGACTTTTCTTGTATCATAATAATACAGCATGAATTGAAAAGTAGTTCCTCCATCCCTTCGCTGCGAAAAAAGTGCTTCAGGCTTCTTATTGCTGCCTGCAAAAGGCCCCCGTTCTCTCTCCCCCAACAACTGACAGACAGAACTCTCCCCTGGGGTCTTGTTTCTATGAGTTCGAGCTGCCTCTGTCTGAAAAGGGCCTGCAAAAGGTGGAGAGGAAAGAAAATAACAAGAAGGAAAAATGGGAAATGACAACAAGAAAAGTATGTACCAGTGCAGAAATATTGCTTCTTGGGTTTTCTTTCCCCTCACAAGCTTTTTTAAGGTCTAAAATTAAATCTATGCTGTCCAGGTACACAGGTGGCTACATAATAAAGAGGCTTTTCATTATTATCATATCATAATTTTGTACCTGGCTGTCATTCAGAGTGATAACAAACACAGTCTAGTGCAGTTTCCCATGAAAAGAGGAAAACATTCAGTAGGCCTACATTCTCCATTCTGTCAGCTTTTTCTTACTATCTCAAGGAAGATGTCAGTGTAAGGCCAGCTAAAAACAAAAAGGAGGAAACATAGTCTTTTTGTTGTCCTAAATCCTAACTGGGAGCCAGGGAGAAAGGTGATACAATGTGATCTACATATCACTCAAACGTGAATGAGTTTACACACAGAAAGGTATCTTAGAAATACTCTCATCTCCTAAATCTTTTCTATACTTAAATGATCTACTGTAACTACTTTGTCACCTCAGTCTTCCCTGATTTGTTCATTGGTATCAGTGACCTGGATGAAAACCACCTTGTTGAAGTGGAAGATCCTTCAGCATGTTCCGAAACCTCTTAGCAGACATTTGTTACTGTTGTAGGAGCATCAACAGAGTTGATCTGTTAGAGAGTGTATGAGGGAGCAACAAGAGAGAGGTTAGGGTTTCCTTGGCTTCCTCTTTTCTCTGAAAGAAAATAACTTTTTACCTTAGTATCTTTAAGGCACAGCTTGGATTCTTCAGGGATTGACAAAGCAAGTAAATAGGTGATTGCTTCACCTCTTCCTGTTTTTTTTCCCTAGAAATAAAGTATAAGTGAGTTTAATGTTGTTCTTTGGCTATAGTTTGCATTTATGCTTCACGAAAGTTAAAGTAACGCCTTCACAGCTGTGATGATGCATGACAGAATACTCTAAATTCCAGTTCAAACCAAATCTCCTTAATAAATAAATACAGTATCTCACCAATTGTATTTGAGTCACAGCTGCTTCCATGTGCACTGTGTATACTAAAGGGAACTACATACATTCTGTTCACTTATACTTTTGTCAGGATAACAATATTTCTCAGAGTTCTGCTACCTCCACATCAGAGTGCCAGTTGGGTGTCACACAGCTCTGTTTGAGAAAGACAAATTTGCTTGGACTGAACAGCATGCCACTGAAGCTGTTTTGCTCCTGATACCTGACCACTCTGGGGCCATTTCCTACTTCATAACATCATGCACCTATAACAGTAGACTCCTACAACAGTAATGTTATAGACCCACATTGAAGAAAGAAACAGGAAAAGTAGATTGAAATCACCTACCACACACAGCAGTTGATCTCTGAACACTCAGAGGGTTTCCCCTTAACTACCATGAAAAAGATGCTGGCACTCACAAACCAAAAATCAACAGTATGTTGTGTTCTGTTGCTGTGTACAAAGGGCAAGGGCCTGTATTTGTACTGCATGCCAGGGGAAATTCTTCCCTTGCAGTTCACTGGGTCTAGGTACCACCTCCAGAATACTCAGGGTCCAAAAAGTCCACATTTTGGACCAGTTTGAATGAGAGCATAACTGGGTTTGGAAAAAAAAAAAGGAACCTCAATAAAGAAGTAAGTTTTGCTGCCCATCTTAACTGAAGTGGAGAGCATGGCCTTACACTGGAACAAGGGACTTTGAAAGGTCACTGGACAGCTTAATTAGCTGCTCCCTTCCTGCTTCTGAAACATGCTGATGCAATGAGAACGTCTTTCCTCCAAGCCTTTAATTTCAAGACATGAACAAATAATGGGGGGCCAAATGGAAAGAAAACCTTGTGTGGAATTGCAGTTGTGTGGGCTTACACTTGAGACTAACACATCCTAATGTTAATGTGGACAAGTGAGCCAGACTAATCAGTATAGTTTCACCACAGTCAGAGAAGTGTCTTCTAGTTCAGTCTAATTCAGTCAGTGGTGACTACAGCATGATTTAACTTGACCAATCAGTGGTTGTCTATTTGAATGTTAAATGACTTGCATTCTGGGCTTCTTTGATTACAATTGGAGCTAAGACACTTAGCTGATAAGCAGATTCTTTTATTTATGTGCTTAGTTTTGAAATGACTCCCATTTCTAGTAACTAGTGGTGCAACAGCCCATTACACTCCACCCAAAATAGCTTCCATCGCTGCACCTTTACTTTATGGAAAGTTCAGCCTTAATTATTTGATGAGTAATTCAATCATCTCTTTTCTACTTAAACTCTATCAGTTATTAAGAGAAGACTTAACAACACTTTCAGTTGTTAAGAGGGTATAACTTACAGATGTGACAGCTTTGCTAGCTGTTGGTCTAAGTGTTCTTCAAGGTCTTCGGAAACAAATGAGCAATAGCCCAGCTCAAGTGAGTCCAGTTTAGGCCAATTTTTTACACAGAATGAAAGAACCATTTGATCAAGTTGGCTAAAACTGATGTCTCTTAAATATATTCCAGTGAAATAATCCAAAGCAGTTTTCACGAAACTCCCATCTTGGATTTCATACAAACAGTGACAAGCCTCCAAATCATGAATCAAAGCTCTCTTCTCTGCATGAACAGCTAAAGCTGTTTTTTGATTAGTTTGAAGCCATATTAGTAATTCTTGCTTAACTTCAGATGAAATTTTGCACCCTGTTTCTTTCTCTATAATCTTTCTTTGTTGCTCATTTAAGAGACCAAAGAGGAACCGCACAGTTAACATGAAATCATGTCTAGAGTTTCCATAATTTTCTAACAATTTTTTCACATCCTTCTTAGGATCTACTGGCTGTTCTCTTATTTTGCCATCATCTTCTAGTATGTAGAACAGAGATGCAAAAAACTCTTGGACACTCAGATGAATGAAGCTGTAGGCGTTTCCACAAACAATGCCCTTCTGAAAAGTGCTCTCGTTCAGAAAGAGCGGGAGAACTTCTCTCTGATTTAGGAGGAATTCACTGATTTCCTCTTCCTCAAAGAGGACTCTCTGCTTCCAGATCCCATCAACAGCTAGGCAGCAAAGTCTCTTCAGGATAACATGCAAGTTCTGTTTTAGCTTGCTGCTCAGAGATTTTAGTAGGCTGGAAAGATAAAGGACATATATTCCTGTAGTTGTCTTGGACATTTGTGCAAGATCTTCACCACTTTCAAGTTGTTGTTTCATAACAGTACAGACAATCCAACACATGATGGGGATAAGGCACATGGTGAAGAGCATTTCATTTCCTTTGACAAACTGAAAGGCCTTTTTTCCCACTTCCTTATTTTCAAAAAACTTAATGAAATATTCCTCCCTCTCAGCTTCTGAAAATCCCAGTATTTCAGCAGAACATTCACACTCCAAGCACTGCTCCAGCTTCTGCAGGGCAGCTGGTCTTGTCGTGATCAGCAGGGAACATTCAGGGAGAAGGGTTTTGCTAAATAAACTGCTCAGGATGATTTCCACTGGCTTCATTTCCCAGGGATCACAGCAAAGATCATTTTGTGGTTGGTTCAAGGAAAACCTCAGTTCATCAAAGCCATCAATGATGAAGAGGAGATTTTCTGGCTTGCTCAAGATCTCTACAAGTGGGGGATTATTACTGGGACAGCATTTGGAGATCATGTCAGCTACACTCCCCTGCGTGGTAAGAAGATTACCTTCCCGACAATGTATGTAGAAAACATAGTCAAATTGTCTGTAAAGCCCTCCTGCTGCCCAGTCCAGCATGATCTTTCTTACTGTCATTGTCTTCCCAATTCCTGCAGCTCCCAAGAGTGCAACAGTCTTTGGTATCTGCCTGTGCCTGTCAGGTTTAAAAAGATCTTCTATAGCAATGGAAGAATTCACTTGTTCCCGCATGATTTCCGCATGTCTCCTGCCCACAGCCATGATTTCATGTTCTTTCTTTTTCTCATGGCGATGTCCACTGACAAGAACCAGCCTTGTGTATCTGGAGTTCAAAGTCACTGTCTCACCAATACGAGCATTCATGTCTTTGATCCAATGGTAATTCTTTTGTACATGCTCTCTGTACTTTGTCTTGTAATCTAAATTAAAAACATGCAACAAAATAACTTCAAATCAAATTCAATGTTCATTCTTCTAAAATTACAACCTTTCAACCACAAAAGTATTGTACCCTCAGTTCATCTCAACTCTTTCATTTTAAAGGATCATCCAATAGGCCTTGTCCTCCCAGTCCTACTAACTGAAATGGCCACCACCCATAACTGAAATCCTATTATACGTCACGTGAATGCAACACTAGTGCTACGCACTCATATGATGCCCAGACATACCAATTCCCACCAGTGATCTCTGTAGCAGTACACCTTTTTCTTCAGGAGCATCTGCCAGCTACTTTCTCATTTCCATTCTGACCTTGCTGGGGCTGCAGGACTGTGAATACGATCATACTCTTTCTGGTGGTAGGTGGAGTATGTAGGTAGCAAAACCCAAACACAGCTTCTCCAGTGACACATACCTTGTGCTATTGAAGCAGGTGGTAGGCTGCATCTCAGGACTGAAAATGAAATTACATGTGACTGTTAGTAGAGCAGCATGACAGAGCATGTCAGTGACATGGCACACGGGAAGCCGGCAAATCCTCCTGGATTGTCTTCCTTCAGAAACTCCCCTAAAATCCCTAGGCCAAGGCAAGGCAGGAAGTGCAGGCAGAGAGAAGGTCTCTACAGACCATTGTCTCTTTCCACCATGGTCCAGGAGTAGGTGGCTGTGCAGGATACAAGGACTGTACCACAAATGGGCAGGAAGACCAATGGCAAGAGAAGTCTCCCTGCAATTCCATGCATGGCAAAGGAGCACACTGCGCTCCTCTGTGTTTTAGAAATTTAAATATGCCCTCTCTCACAGCTTTCATGAAGGTTCTCCTGTGCCTTTTCCAGGGACAATCAGAAAGAATCAGACAATCAGAAAGTATCAGTATCCACAGTTTCCTTACCTTTTCCTTTCTTCTCTTTCAGTTTAGCTGCAGTGTCTCTTTGGTTGATCCTTTCAAGCACACAGATAGCTACATCCACAGCAATGTCAGCTCCATAGTGGTCACACATATGGTCTGCAAGTTTAACTGGATCGTTGGCTTTCTTGAGCAAACTCTTGGAGAGATTGGCCATCCCATCATAATCAATATGTGATAATTTATATTTAAACTTCTCAAACATATCCAGCACAAGATCCTCCAGTGCTTCCAAAAGGAAATCCCTGGTATTCTTCTCGCCTGCCATCATAGTACGCCAAAGAAACCCTGGAAAACAGCAGAGGTTTAAAAATAAATTCTCTTCTAAGAGAGCTACCAGGCACTCTCTGAGATGAGACTCACTAGCTGTTACAGGGCAGCAGCTGAAGCCTCTGTGCTCCTAGAGCCAGTCTGCACACTGCCAGAGGCAGTGCTAGCTCTCCTGTGTTAATACATCCAGTGACTTGTGGGTCTGCAGAGCCTGGATCACCACACCTCACAATTACCCACAGAGCTCTCCTGCTTCCAACTCTGCACCTTCTTGGCCCCAGGTGCAGTGGGATGAAGTGCTCCTAGATCAGGGTGGTAGATGAGGCTTTCGCCAAGTGATGTGCTAGTATGTGGATAAAGTGGATTCTCTAGTCATGCCTGTCTGAACAGCTGTTGTCAAAACCCGGGAGGAGTTTCCACAGCAGCTGAGTTAGAGTCAGTTCATTGAGCAGTGGGACGCAGTCTG